AATCTATTGAAAATCAAAACCATCCGACGTTCTATATAAAGAATTTATTTTGGGTCTAGCATATAAATGAATGTCTAATTAATGATTTAGATAACATTTGAGGCCAAACGTCCTCAAAATGTTATATAAATAACATCCATATTAATAGGCAAGATGTTTACTAAATAAAATTCATAAAATATGAATAGAGGTAAAAACAAAAACAACATTTCTTCAGGTGCATATCCTAGTTGCACCTGTCTGAAATATTATCTCGTTTTTTCTAGCCCGCTGTGACGTAATATGTGATATAAGATTATATTATCTGAATTGGTAGATGTATACAGGAAACAATAATAATCTATACTGACGTCACTCCTACCAGATACAATACATATTATACATATTAAGATTATACATTATCACTTTATATCAAACGCGGGGAGGGGGGGGGCGAAGTCGCGCAAGATAATGGGGGGGGGGGGGGTATCTTGGCAAGTGACAATACATAGGCGTTCGGATGGGTCGTAAAATCGAGGAACCGGTTACACATTGGCGTGCATGTAAAAGCACCTTTCACATGTTCAAATTCGAAATAAGAGTGGGCCGTAGCGCCGCTATCCGGGCAAAATGTCCCTCATAGGAAATTGTATGGCGTATTCCCGTGTTCATTACCATAGTCGGTGCAAAAGAGTCATTTAATATCATTTCATGGAATGATAGTTTGACTCTATCAGTAACACACACACATACACATATATATATATATAGACATTAACCTGTGCGTACATATATATATATATGTATGTATGTAAAGCACGTGCTGTGGTATATGTATCATGGTATATAGAAGAATATAAATAGTTTAATGTCCGCCAGATACACGTACTATACCATCATTCATATAAAACACGTACCTCTTATATACACGTTTATAGCCACACATCAAATATATAAACTCGGGTTTAACGTCCTACTGCTTGTGCCGATCAAGCTAATAAAGACGGAAGAACACCATATAAGGTGCTATGGGAACATTGGTCCTGGCAGCGGTTGTACGGCCTACTTTTAATTTCGAATTTAAACAATGAAGGTTCATTTTACGTGCACGCCACGACTAGACGCTGTTTGCCAGGCCCTCCGCCCTGCACACTGACAAGGGGAGACAACGCTGGAAAAAATCCCGAGGAACTTTCACAATAGATTTTGGAGATTTAATAAAAATACACAGTCCAAAATAGATGTACATCACAGATATTCAGAAGAACCGTCATCTGCTCAGATAAAGAATTTATTACGTCACAAGGCCATGTATATAGACGTACATAATACTATATATAATATACCCTAAACCATTGTGCTTGATAATGACGAGGGGGTGTCATGTCGAAACGTTGTTCTTTTACAATAAAAACTAGTGATTGGCCTCCAATATAAATTGTGTTCTGTTAATGTGTCTATCTCTCGGTTAAACATACATTATGCAAGAGCTAAATCTGTCTATTGCAGGTCTTTCTTTAGGCCTTAAATGTTATCTAAATTATTACTTAGATATTCAACTTACCATGCCATCGCTAGCCTGCGATATTTAGCGGATTGGAATACATTTTTTGAAAAATAATTAAAAGTAAAAATGGATAATCGAGACTTTCTTTTTTCATCGTACCGACTTTAGTAATTATGATCGAGGGTAGTCTAAAATTCAATCACTAATATCTCGGTTCAGAGTGGAGAAACTTAACTGAAATTTTCAACATCTTCTATTTACGTTATCTATTTTATAATAGCGAGTATAATCAACTCTTTATCTTTAATATATACCACTGAAAGATTAATGTATATTAGAAAACACCGAAAATATGTCTACATAAAATCATATTCCTGGAGCAATGGCCTGAGAAATCCCTCTTTGGGTGGGATTGGATCTAATCAAACGATACGTCTCCATAAAATCATATTGGTGAAGCAATGACTGGAGAAATCCTTGTTTGAGTAGGATAGGATCTAATCAAACGAAACACAGCCAATATATAATATCTACATGAAATGATCAATATACAGCTTTATATCATTTCAGGAATAAACGACAGATTCTAGACTATTCTACTGTGAAATATTATGATAATTTCAATATACAATATAGATAGATACAATGCAAAAAAAAAACCTCAGACAATTTAATATAACATAAAATGTTATATCATTTCAGAAATATATATATATATATGAGAGATTCTATGGGATATTATATATATGAAATATATATATGAGAGATTCTATGAAATATTATATATATATGAAATATATATATGAGAGATTCTAGAGTGATCTGTTATTGAATATTATAATTATAATGTCATTAGGTATGATATCGGATCTAGATCGATATCATTGAGTGGTCGATCACAATTAATGATTGTATTAGTAATACTGTGTTGTACCGTTTGTTATGTCTAGGTTTTGTTGTGCAGTAATCCTGTATTATCTATTTAAGTCAGGTATGGTATATATATAAGTGAGGAATACCACCACCGGGTGTTATTACTATAACAACGGCTGCATGGTTCCTATCATTGTGACCTAGAATCCCAGCAAACGATAGATCTCAACCTCCCGACGATAAGAGAAACATTTTAAAACAATGGTATATAAACATAATATTGTCCGGTGTATATTAAAGATTATTAACTATGTAATATAGATAATATACTCACGTTATAAAACAGGAAATACAGGGTTGTAACCCACGGATAAATCTACTCCACGTAACAACAGATACAGCGCGTGCTAGTTTTCTTTCATATCGATTATCTCTTTATAACGGTAAATCTATTATTAGTAACGACTTTAAACTGAACAGTCCCTGCAAGTAGGCTCGATTGTTCTGGTCTACAAGACTTGCAAGTTAGTCATCTAGCTTTTTTCATAATAAATGAAAAAAAAAATGGTTCACTTATCGCTAAAAGACAATTTGAAATTGGAATTTTACTAAATCTGAAAGTATAACAGGGCATCCCTTCTTCTTCCCAAGAACTAAAATGATTAACTCATTGTTGGCCAATTTCTATTAAAAAGGCGATTTCCATGGCGGTGTGTACGGGTGTGTCTGTGAAAGACTGGTTAATCGTAACATGGAACATTGAGTCAATTTCTAGAATATGCCAGTCGATTGGTAATGAACAGCAGACGAACTTATTCACACCTCAAGCAGTCGGCAGATAAAATTACATTTCTGCTCATCAATCTGGCACGCGATTTCCGCCATGTGAAATCATTCCCCCAATTAATCCAGTTTACAATCGCGGCACTGTATCGAAAACTTATATTATTCTAGATTGTTAAGTTTTTTCGATGAATGGTGTGTGATTGTAATACGGCACTGGCTTACGAACTAGAAGTTCCCGCGGTTTCGAAAAAACGTTCCTCGGGACGGATCGTTCGGATAGGACGAAAACCCGAGGTTTTGCATGTAGTATATACAAGAACACTTGGCAGTTGGAATTCGACGAAGAGAGGATGAAATTTCCCTCACCGGACACCGAATGATATATGCTGGTCTTCATTAGTCTGGATGGTGAGGAAAAGTAAAATCAAAATTTGGTCTGTAATTGGGGGGTAGGATGGCCGAATGGTTAGCACGTGCGCGCTGTATCATAAGGTCTGCCATTGTGTCAACTCGCATGGTTTCGATTTCCCGGTTGTACGTGACAAGGAATAGGGTCGCCTGTCCAATCTCTTGGATTTTCTCCGTGTTCTCCGGTTTTCTCCCACTGCTTAAGACCCCATAGCGCAAGCGACTTATTGAAACAAAATTGAACCAAATGTTAGTCGTAGTTTGTGTCGAGTGGACGTTTAACCCCACCCTCTCTCTCTCACGCTCTCTCTCTCTCTCTTTATCTCTCTCTCATTAGTCCGGATGGTGAGGAAAATTAAGATAAAGATATTTGTCTATAATTAGGTTATACAACAAAGTATTCGGCGACGAGCTGAATCATTTTAATTTATTTATCACTGGTTGTTCCTCAACAACACGTGACTCATGAATGAATTATTAAATATGTGAGACGATATTTAAATGGGCGTAGATCTGTGATCTTTATGACCAGGGCGGTTTAATTTCACTCGTGGAAAGGAAATCTGTAATTTAAACACGTTGTGTGACATTTACCATAACAAACTTGTAAATTTAACATTAGAGTTAAATATTCTTAGGCGTAACAAGCGGATATCGCGTGGTTGAGAAAGTTTCTCGGTTTCTTCTGGTGTGGTTTACAGGAAGACATTGAGTTGAAAGCTAAAATGCAGAACTACATGTATTCAGGGCCGTACGTAACTTAGCTCAGGGCAACGAGGGGGCGGAAAGTGTTCTCAGGGGTGCAGTAAAATTGACGGACAATGTATATCTATGGTCGACAATTTTTTCACAGGAGGGGGGGGGGCGAAACTTTTTGCGGGCGGGGCTTTGCCCCCCTGCGCCCCCCCCCCCCTCCTCCCAGTTACGGGCCTACATGTATTAAAAAGTCGGAAAATCTTTTTCCGAGCTTTGAGTATTCCGAGGTGCAGTGTACGCATTGGCATGCACCCTAACCCCTTGACAGTTTGAATTCGAAATAAGAATAGGCATCTATTCTACTCGTAGCAAACTGCACTGAATATTGTCGTCCTCAATAGCCAGGATAGATGGCGCAGAAAAGTAAGACTTACCCGAAGGGAGACAACTCCATTTTAGGGAGAGTTAAATGGAGTTATTTCCCTTATACCATGGATTTGACATACTACTCGCAGCAAGTAATATCATAATGTTTAGATTGAATTTAGATTGTTTGAACATCACAAGCTACTTAGAAAACGCAGTTTTAACTAAATAAATGAAGACAACGAAATAAACGAAAACACAGTGGATATTATGATTCTCTTCAAATTTATAAACGGAAAGATAAACAAGAGTTATCTTTTCCTGAATCCGTCAGGTGTACGATTCATTGACCAATGAAATGGATTGTTTCTTTGAAGTGGCAATTTTGAAAGCCAGAGGAAGTGTAATTTATTTATAAACAAATCTTTTTTGATAATTTTATTTGTTTACATTGGAAATAATGTAAATTAATTCTTGAAGGTGACAATTAAGAGTACGGTCGACAGGTAGGCCTACATTCATGAACTCATTCCGCAGTTTTTTCCAGTGAATTTTATGTTTTTCATTTTGTCATTTACTACTTACGTCTTACCTCATTAGGTTAGGCTGAATGACATTTTTTCATTGGGACTTGAGGAAACAAAATTAATAATGACATGATTCCACGTTATTATAATTGTCTGTTGTAGTGAAATCTAGGCAAATTGGAAATTGAAAGTCATTTTTCATCAAATTGCAATATTATTATCATTAAATTCATTAATAATATAATATCAAGACACGGTGACTAGGTGGTTAAGACGCTGGCTCACTAGCCTGGAAGTCGGGTGTTCGATCCCTGCATTGGCCGAGAAAGTTCATCTCGATTTTCCGACGTGGTTTCCCTTTGTCAGTGGTGCAGAACGGTGGGCCTGACAAGGACAGCTGTCTAGTCCTTCGGATGAGACGGAAAACGGAGGTCCCGTGTATACATTGGAATGCACGTAAAAGATCCCTTGGCAGTTGGAATTCGATATAAGAGTAGGCGATAGTGCCGCTGCCCGGGCAAAATTTCCCTCATAGCACACTGTATGTATGGCGTATGCCCGTCTTCATTAGCCCGTCTTCATTAGCCCAGGTTAGGACTCAGGAGCAGAACAGTAGGACGTTAAACCCCATTTCATTTCATTTCATTTCTAAAAGTAAAACTAAAGAGAGTCAAGTGATGTTATGATAAGTTGTCTTATTTTCATGGGTCTTTCTAGAAATGGTTCCACTACTGATGTCTTCCATCTTGCGCCGTCCAGCGACAGTAGTGGGGCGCTATTGCACTTTTGCACCTCAATGAATAGTGCCCATATACCAGGGCATCGTCCTAAGGAATTCCTTTGAGCAAGTTTTGTACTAATTTGTAGTCATTTGACAAAAAAAGCTTACTGGCCTATAATAATTATATAACTACTTACACTGACCCCAACTTGTAGATACATATAGCTTAACATAATAAACCAATTCCTATTAAATAAATGTGAAACCTTACCGCATATTGTATTATTATATTTCATTAAACCCAAATGCTGTGCGAAATTTCTGTTCATATTAAAATTGCCGTCGAACCAGGGACGAGGGTCACATGATTTTAAGTCACTCAATGCTGTGCGAAATTTCTGTTCATATTAAAATTGCCGTCGAATCAGAGACGGGAGTCACATTATTTTAAGTCACTCGAAAAAATACAGAAAAACTGTTTGGTAAGATAAGATTACAATTTCAGTGTTCCACTCTTCACTATTTCTAACACAATACTTATTTCCATGCAAACTGGGATGATATGTATTGAGAATTTACAACTGAACCTAATTTTACTTGCGCAAAGCCCTTAATATATTATTAATTGTAGCAACGTATGAGATTGGACGTGGGTACAATATTGAAGCCATGGTCTTTCTACTTTAGAAGGCTCTTTCAGGACTTTGATTTTGAGTTTGATAAGGTGCAACTGGTCCTATCTCCAAACCACATACATGTAGGCACACACCAGGGATTGAAACCACGTCCGTAAGTCAGACGTGACCGGCCAGCTAGAGCTCGATGCGTGACACTTATACATTTATTACATTAAAATAGTTTTTTTAATTTTAGACCCTTTTTCATCTATTATATTAATTAGTGTTTTTAATTTTAGACCCTTTTTCATCTATTTTCAGGTTCCATAAGAACTATTTTATGCCATTTATTAACTAGAGTTCACAGTAGATTAGCCTTACTGACAATAGATATAGGTTTTAAAAACAGTGGCAATCAACTAATTACAGCTACAGGCCTTTTTTTTATTGTTTGTTTGTCTAGGCCGCGGATTTAACAACTTTTCTGTTGATAATCTAATAAAGTACAAGTACGTACTTAATAAAGAAGTAAAATGACTTTTAAATAATTTTGTTGATTTTTATTTTTATTAGATTATTGAAGTATGACGTTATTAACGGCCAATAAAACACCAGGAAGAACTCCGAGTTGCCATGGCAATAATCAAGGTGGTGACCAATCTAGTAATGTTAAAGTTGTTGTTAGAATTCGACCAGAGAATGCACTGGAACATTCATCAGGGGCATCACGAATTGTAGTTAAAGCTATGAATGAACATGTTTTAGTTTTTGATCCAATGAAAGAAGAGCATCATACGCCAGGCTACAGAAAGAGAAAAAATCGTGATTTAACGCAGAGAGCGAGAAAAGATCTACGCTTTGCTTTTGATTATGTTTTTGGTCCCCATACATCGAATCAAACAGTTTATGAACATACAACTAAAACTATTCTAGAAGGTTTTCTCAATGGATATAATTGTTCAGGTAATATTTTCATAGATTTAAACATACATTATGCAAGAGCTAAATCCGTCTATTGCAGGTCTTTCTTTAGGCCTGAAATGTTATCTAAATTATAAATTAGACATTAATTAACTTATTCAGACCATAATCAACTCTAGATGGCATCGCTAGCCTGCGATCTTAAGTGGATTGTGATCCGATTTACTGCATAACTTTCCTTCTCGATTAAATGGATAATCAAGACTATGCTGTTTAATGTACTGACTTTAGTAATGATGACCGAGGCTAGGCAAAAATTTCATTCGCTTAGTTCTCGGTTCATAGTCGATAATTTGAATGAAATTTTCAGCAAATTGCCTTTAAGTTATCTAGTTTTTAATTATTATAGTGAGAACTGCCAACTCGTTATCGAATCTCCCATAATGTATATTTAATATAATATCGCTGCTGCGGAGAAATTGTTCTATCCTAACCTAAATCTCAATTTTTTAAAGCTGTCATAATTAGCTCAATCGGTGCAGAATAGTAGGACGTTAAATTAAAAAAAACATTCCCATTAAATTTCCAGTTTTGAAGACTAGGTTATGGATATTGATACTGAACAGCGAAACCCCTACATCCAAGCAAATTAATGAATTAAAATTGAACCATATGTTAATCCCGAAATGACCTAGTTTGTGTTGAGTGGACATTTAACGCCATTTCTCTCTCTCTCTAATTTGTGCTGCAGGACCGAGGGCCTGGCCAGGAACAACATCTACATGTCTAGTTGTTCAAATGGGATGAAAAACCAAGTTCCTGTGTAAACATTGGTATGCACTGTGCACCTAAAACATTCCTTGACAACTGAAATTTGAATCAAGAGTTGGTCTTAGCACTGCTGCCTGTGAAATATTTCTCTCGTAAATGAAGCACACTGCGTGGCAGATCCAATCTTCATTAGCCCGGATGATGCAGAAACGTTGGATGTTTTTAACCCCAGATTTGATATTGTGTCCCTTACTGACAATTGTGTCATTATGAATGTGTCATTTTTTTGTTACAGTATTTCTCTGCGTATTTATTTATAATATTGATTATTTATAGAATATATTGATTATTTATAGATTATATTGATTATTTATAGAATATATTGATTATTTATAGAATATATTGATTATTTATAGAATATATTGAATATTTATAGAATATTGATTATTTATACGATATATTGAATATTTCAGTGTTTGCGTACGGAGCTACAGGAGCAGGAAAGACTCATACTATGTTAGGTAGTGAGAATAAACCAGGTGTCATGTATCTAACTATGATAGATCTATACGAGAGAATTGCAGCCATACAGGAAGAGAAATCGTGTGAAGTGGCTGTCTCATATCTAGAGGTAGGCTTATAGTACTGAGGCCCTGTATACACATTGACGTGTACATAAAAGGTCCCTTGGCAGTTATGAATCCCATTTTTTTACTACAATAACAAAATAACTAGATAAAAAGATGTACGAAAAAGCTCTGATTCTAAAATATACTCTACATGTACCGGTACATATATGTAGCAGGTATGTACATTGTGGATGGTAGACACTAGAAATGTCAAATCGTTTCAAGTGTTTTGAATTATTTTGTAAACCCCGAAAGCAGCCAGATTTTCCTCTAATTAGCATGATTTTTTTATTCTTTATTTGTTTTTGAACGAAATCTTGCCTTTTGGAAAACCCATATTTGACTTTTTACGACTAAACAGAGTTTTATAATACCAGGATTTTATGTTGTAGGTTTATAATGAACAGATACGTGATTTACTGAAACCACAAGCTCCGTTACCAATCCGTGAAGATTCCTGCAGTGGTGTTGTCATATCTGGTTTATCATTACATAAGGTACGTTCACTTGTAGGGGGGGTTGGATGGTCGAATCGTTTCGATTCCCTGGTTGTACGTTACAAGGAGTAGGGTCACCTGTCCAACCTCGTGGGTTTTCTCCGGGCCCTCCAGGTTTCTCCCACTGCTAAAGACCCCTACACGCAAGCGAATAATTGAAATAAAATTGGGCCATATGTCAATCCCGAAATGATCTAGTTTGTGTCGAGTGGATGTTAAACTCCATTTCACTCTGACTCTCACTCTCTCTATATCTCTCTCTAGTTTGTGTCAAGGGGATGATAAACTCTCTTTCTAATTATCTTGTTTTTATTTTTCCAGCCAAAATCAGCTGATGAATTGTTGAAGATGTTACAATATGGTAATCAGAATCGTTCACAACATCCAACTGATGCTAATGCAGAATCTTCTCGATCTCATGCAGTATTTCAGGTAAAAACATCTCCATCTCATGCTGTCTTTCAGGTATACATCGTTTAAAAACATTGCAATCTCATGCAGACTTTCAGGTACACATCATGTAAAAACATCTCCACCTCATGCAGTCTTTCAGGTACACATCATGTAAAAACATCTCACTCGGTCTTTCAGGTACACATTGTGTAAAAACATCTCGATCTTGTGCAGTCTTTCAGGTACACATCATGAAAAAACACAGTTATAATAATAAAATTTGTGTTGAGATGTAAATGGCGATTGGTTGCTTGGGCATAAATATAGATGTAACCAGTGTACATGGTATAGACACACGAATTCACGTACCATAGATAAATGAACATAAAATAATAAGTTAAGTTTCTGTGTGTTGTCAAAAATGACCAACGATGAACATTTTGAAGTGGATGCCCCTGACTAAGTTTACTTTTTCCATTTTTAGGTTTTTGTAAAACAGAAAGATAGAACAGCCAACATATCAGCAGAAGTTAAAGTAGCCAAGATGTGTTTGGTGGATTTAGCCGGATCTGAGAGAGCAACGGTAACCACTAATCGTGGGGTACGATTCCGTGAAGGAGCAAATATCAATAAATCTCTTCTAGCTCTTGGTAATGTCATCAATGCTCTCGCAGATAATAAGGTAATATTATACTCTGGCAGAGTCTCTGCATCATTTGGGTTTAACTGGGGGGAGTTGGGTGCACTTAACATCAAGGGAGCCACGGTAGCTAAGTGGGTAAGGCGCTGGCTCCCTAACCCGAAGGTCATGTGTTCAATCCCTGCATTGGCCGAGAAAGTTCATTGTGATTTTACGGCGTGGTTTCCCCTTATCAGTGGTGCAGGATGGAGATCCTGACAAGTACAGCTGTCTAGTCATTCAGAAGGGTACGAAAAACCGAGGTCTCGTGTATACACATTGCCGTGCACGTTAAAGATCCCTAGAGTAGGCCATAGTGCGTATGCCCTTCTTCATTAGACCAGTCAGAGTAGAACGTTAAACCCCATTTCATTTCACTTAAATTCAAAAGGTCCACCATTGAGTCAAGTTACCTGGCTTCGATCCCACACATGAATTATTGAAATAAAATCGAACCATAGTTTAGTTCTGATATGACGTAGTTTATGTTGAGTGGAGGTTAAACTCCCCCTCTCTCTTGTTTGTTTATATTTTGTAGTATAAAGAAGGATATTTACCCTATCGAGACTGTAAATTAAACATACCTTATTCAAGAGCTAAATCTGCCTATTGCGTGTCTTTCTTTAGGCCTGAAATGTTATATAAACTATTAATTAGACATTTATTTACATGACAAGACCATGATCAACTCTCGATGCCATCTGATTTTCATTGGATTTGAATCCGATCTGCTGTTCATCACCCATTGATGATTAACCGCAAAAATGGATGATCGAGACTTTGTTAATTACCATGACAGCGGTAACAATGACAATCAAGGCTACAATGATTTTAAAAATAAGGTTTTCTCGGCTTATAGTGGAGCCATTTGATTTATATTTTCAGCATATTCTCTTTACGTTATCTATTTTTTAAACTTTTGTAGGGAGAACTGCCAGCTCTTTATCTAATCTTCCATAATGTATCTTTAACAGATATATTGTTTTTATTTTGTAAAATACATATACCGTATAGACAGTAAATTAACACGTATATTGTTTATATTTTGTAGAGTAAAGGACATATATACCATATCGAGACAGTAAATTAACACATATATTGTTTATATTTTGTAGAGTAAAGGACATATATACCGTATAGACAGTAAATTGACACGTATATTGTTTATATTTATTATAGAGTAAAGGCCATATACCATATAGAGACAGTAAATTGACACGTATATTGTTTATATTTATTATAGAGTAAAGGCCATATACCATATAGAGACAGTAAATTGACACGTATATTGTTTATATTTATTATAGAGTAAAGGCCATATACCATATAGAGACAGTAAATTAACACGTATATTAAAAGATTCATTGGGTGGTAATTGTAGAACTGTTATGATAGCAGCTGTCAGGTAGATATAGGTTATTATTTATAGTCCCATATAATATATTGAGATCAATGCTCAACATCAATGGTTGTCTAATCTCGTCCCTCTCAGTCATACCAATCTAATTAAAATACAGATCTATATTTCATCTCGTTTTTTTATACTTTTATTGGCCTCTACTACATGAAAATCTGACCAGTTTTAGTGGGAGGTTGCGTCAGAGGTCATACAAGCGACTTTTGAACCTATGACATCAGACATTTGATTAACCAATCTGCGTTGATGTTTCTAGTGGAATACCCATGGTTCTGTGCATAGCATGCCAAGAACTTGCCGTAATATACCGTTTTACTAGTAAAGTAAAGACAAGTAAAACGAAATTTAGAACTATAAAAAAACGATACGAAATAGAATCAGTGTTTTAATCGGATTTCAGTGATAAGAGTGGCCAAGCGAATATTTACTGCTGATCTGTTTGGCAAAGTATAGATGTATTATTAAACACACATTATGCAAGAACTGAATCTGACTATTGCAGGTCTTTCTTTAGGCCTGAAATGTTTTCTAAATTATTAATTAGCCATTAATTAACTTATCCAGACCATAATCAACTGTAGATGGCATTCTCTAGTCTGCAATATTTACTGGATTAGAACCTCGGTCTGCTGCTTCTGATTAAATCAAAAAATGTATAATCGAGACTTATGTTTTTTTATTGTACCGACATTTGTAATGATGATCAAGGCTAGGCCCAAAATTCAATCGCTAAATACTCAGTTCGTTCAGGGTAGATCAATTTAACTGAAATTTTCAGCAAATTATCTAGATTTTAACTATTATAGTGAGAACTACAGGCTCTTTATTTAATCTCCCATAATGTATCTTTAATACATACACTATTTGTACATTGTTTTGTTTTTATTTTTTTCAGTCCATCCAGTATGTCTTATGATGATACTTATAATACATTGAAATATGCTGATAGAGCTAAAAATATCCGAGCTACAGTAAGTCAACATGAGCATAAAACAATAAACATTCCTCCGTTTAACTCTAAATTTAAACTAACTATTCATTTCTTTCAACATGTCTGTAACAGTCATGTTGCAATCGTGCCCCTCAAGTCACAATTATAGCACTTAATTTGGAGCTGCAGTGGTTCCCCTTGTCAGTGATGCAGGACGGACAGCCTGACCAGGAAAGCTGTCTTGTCATTAAGATAGGACGAGAAACCGAGGTCCCGGTACACATTGATGTGCACGTAAAAGATCCCTTGGCAGTTGGAATTCGATATACGAGTACGCCATAGTGCAGCTACCTGGGCAAAATTTCCCTCATAGCACACTATGGCGTATGCCCATCTTCATAAGCCTAGTCTGAGCAAAACAGTAGGACTTTAAACCCCATTTCATTTCATTTCATCGCAGTGGTTCAGTGATTAAGACATTGGGTCGCTGACCTCGAGGTCCCGTGATTGATCCTGGTGTTGGCAGATAAAGTTCATCAGGATTTTCCACCGTGCTTCTCTCTGGTCAGTAGTGCAAGATGGGTGGGCCTGGCAAGGTACAGTGTATAGATGTTCAGACACATTGGTGTGCACGTATTAGAACCCCTGACAGAGTAGGTCATAGTGATGCGGTGAGGGCAAAACTTTCCATATAGCACACTATGGCATATGCCAGTCTTCATAAGCCTAGTCGGAGCAGAACTGTTCCCCCCCCCCCCTAATTTCATTTCATTTCATTATGACACTTGATTTAACGCTCCATTCCTATATTTTCTGTTACAGTTAAAGAAGAATATATTAAACGTTGATTTTCATGTCAGTCGTTACGGTCAAATTGTTGAAGATCTTAGAAAAGAGGTTGGTAGAGATTTAATTCCTAGTTTAAATTATCCAAAAATCCTTACTGTAGTATTTATAAAATTGGCAATACAAATACAGATGATAAAAAACAAAAAATAGAAAAATACATTGTATGATTTCTACAGATTGAATTTTACTTAAGTCTACAATTGTATTGATCGGGGCTTTCTCACCCATGTTCTTTAGATCATAAGGTCTGTTATAAAATCAGCATGGTTTCAATCGAAGCTTGTGGGTGGAAGGGAGTATGGTCACTTGTCCAATCACGTTCCACGCACTGCTAAGGGGGCTGGGTGACTGAATGGTTAACGCATGTGCGTTGCATCATAAGGTTTGTCATTGAGTCAAGTGGGTTTGATTTCCCGCTTGTATGTGACAAAGGGTAGGGTCGTCTGTCCAGCCTCGTGGGTTTCCTACCACTTCTAAAGACCCCTATCCACAAGCAAATTATTGATTTAAAATTGAACCATATGTTAAACTCCATTTCTCTCTCCCTTTATTAATTTATTGGGGATATTTTAAGTTTTATTTATAACAATAGAATCAGATAATATATAGAATTAAAACTTGTGTTTCAGATAATAGTTTTAAAACTTGTTTTATTTTAGATAATAGAATTAAAACTTGCTGTGTTTCAGATAATAGAATTAAAACTTGTGTTTCAGATAATAGTTTTAAAACTTGTTTTATTTTAGATAATAGAATCAAAACTTGTTGTGATTCAGATAATAGAATCAAAACTTGTTGTATTTCAGATGTTTCAGATAATAGAACTAAAACTTGTGTTTCAGATAATAGAATTTAAACTTGTTGTATTTCAGATAATAGAATTTAAACTTGTTGTGTTTCAGATAATAGAATTAAAACTTGTTGTATTTCAGATAATTGAATTAAAGAGTAAAATTGCTTTATATGAAGAGGGTAAAATAACATCCACTAAAAATAATTTAAATCAAGAAGTAGTCAGGTTAGTTGTGGTATTTTATTTTATAAGAGGTTGATGTATTTTACAATACCAGTAAGACTAGTCCATGTAGCTTCATTTTTTTTTTTCGGGGGATGGGGATTGCCAAACATGTTACTATTTTATTTGAAATACTAGTGACTTTTACCCATAGCTTTTTTATTTGAAATTACCTTAATAACACTTTTGAGATGCGATGGCGGACGGGGTTCTTGAAAAATTGGATTTTATGATAATGGGTCTTTAAAAATACTCTGTATAGTGAAGAGGTTGACATTTATTCTTATTGCAAGGCTAAAATAAGGTACAAGTCAAAGACCTGTCACAAAATCAGGCTCAATTAGGAACAATTCCTCTAGTGCCTTTCATTTTGTCCGACTAAGAGCTAGCATAAAGTTCAAAAGGTCAGGTACTAGTTTATTATACTGTTATTTCCAGCCTCTGTACTCACGAAAACTTACACAGTGATTATACAAGAGCTAAATCTGGCTATAGCAAGTCTTTCGTTAGGCCTGAAATGTTATATAAATTATTAATTAGACATTTATTAACATGAAAAGACAATAATCAACTCTTGATATCATCGGATGCTTGAGATTTTCAACAGATTTAAATAAGGATGTAACGAGTCAAAAAAAATTGAACCGGTTAACCGATGGGCAAAAAACCGACCGTGACCAGTCAACCGATTCACTTTTTATTTTTAGTTGCGGAGTTATTAATCGCCGGTACTGTACGCAGGATTAAAGTTTACTTTTTAACACTGTTTAACTTGAATATAAACTATTAGACCCCAAGTCCTAAGAAGAGTTTATTTATTGCAGCTTATTTTGTTTTTCATTCAAATTTCTCGGAAGGAAACATTGCGTCGTCTAACAGTCAAAAAGGTCATGGTCTCACGTGGTCGTCACTCGCCGGGTACCAGCACATGCCGTTGTGTGACAGATCAGAAAATTAGTGTTTGACCCGTTATAATTATAGGAATATTCTATGGCCCCCACCTACCTCCATCTCAATGTGCAATGTTGTAATGTAATCCATTAATAAAATATTTAATTCGGCGTCTTTATTCACGCGCACAGCATTACTTTCATTTTCATACGCATTTAATAGTCAACCTGTAGTCAAGATTACCCAGCCCGAAGATACAACGCAATAAGTCGCTCTTTTCTGGAGAGTCTTAGATCACGGTCAAAACATTATTATAACTGTAGGCTTATAGTCCATGCCATTTTCTTAAATTTATATTTATAAATATTGCCGTATTAAAAGCTAATACTATAAAATTCGTATGTTTACCACACGTGACTGAACATGTGACCCCATCGAGCCAATGAAACAAAGAAAAGATTATACCATTTGGCCACGTGCCAGAGAGACGAAAGATACTTTGTTTACGGCATAATTTTTCTTACTACGTTTTCGAGCAGCGAATACGACCGTTTTATTACCGGGAAAGTTTTGTATCAACGTGTAATATGAACATGAGAGCCTGGGCTAATACTAGTAGTTTACTACTAGTTCGATATACACTGACATTTTTATATAGAACGAATAACGGTCACGGGAATATTGAACCGGTCAGGTTGCAGAACCGAACCGTAACCGGTCAACCGAGTAACCGTTTACATCCTTAGATTTAAATACGATTTGAGGTTAATGATTTAATTTAAAAATGGATAATTGAGACTTTGTTTATTATCGTAACAATGGTAGGAATGACATTCAAGACTAGACTATTCTTCTAACAGCCATAACTCAGCTTAGAATGAAGTAATTTGACTGAAATTTTCAACATATTCCCTTTTCATGATCTATTTTTGAACTATTATAGTAAGAACTGTCAGCTCTTTATCTTATATAATGCTCCTTTAAACTAAAATATTTTAAAGATAGAGCCTCTTCATTGGTTGAAATTTAAAATCCTAGTTCAAATTGAAACTCTTGACCTATGAAAGCACTGAATTCATTGGTTGAGATTTAAAATTCTTGTTCAAATTGAAAATCTTGACCAATGAAAGTACTGAATTCTTAAAAAAATATAGTTTTAGTTTTTATGAATAAGGTTCCTGGTGTGTTTTTGATTATATATTTCACTAGTTTGTTTTACCTCGTAGGTTACAAGATGTCCTACATAATTTATTTACCACACGACTAGCTGTACGTAAAGAGTTTCTAGATGCCGAGGCCGGTAAGCGAGATATCGCGTGGAAGATTTATAAGAAAGAAAAGGTGATGAACAGATTAAATATTCTGGCAGGCGAGGATCAGGTATGTTACGAAGCAAACGATTTTATGATTTGTTTCTGTTCGGTTCTTCGATTTGAAAATAAAATACAAAATTTGGAGAACATCCAAGCATGGACTTGTAGTAACTTGATAAAACAAGACTAGTTCTTAAAGGCAAATAATACATTTTTATAATGCAGTATTTTATTAATTCCTTCATTCCACTTCGATCCTTGCATTGGCCGAGAAAGTTTATCAGGATTTTCTAATGTGCTTTCCCCTGGTCAGTGATGCAAGATGGAGTGCCTGACACACTGTTTGGGACTATTTCTGTTAAATACTTACTGCAAAAACATCACCTTTACACAGGTAACCATAGACACTACATGTATCATTTTAGTCTCAAAAGCAATTTGATTAAAACACAGATCCTATTTCGTTTTGTTTTTTATAGTTCAAAATTTCGCTTTACTTGTCTTTCTTACACTAGGATCTGGAAGAGTTGTTATTTAACTCGTGTTCTGATTTGTGTCAGGGATAAGCCAATAAAACGAACTATTGCGGAGAGTTTGTGGTGTGCGGTGCACGGAACTGTGGGTAAACATCTAGAAACGTAAACACTGATTGATTAATCAATGTCTGACGTCATAGGGTCTAAAGCCGATCGTATGACCTCTGATGCGACCTATCACTACAACCGGTCAGATCTTCATGTAGTGGAGGCCATGAAAAGTTAAACAAAACGAAACGAAATATAGATGTGTATTTTAATCAGATTGGCTGAGAATAACTTGATTTATTGGCAGGTTTGTGATAATCTACAGAAAACTGTAACTAAACACAAGAATCGTCTGGTTAATCTAGACAGACATGTAGAATTAGCCAGTGGTAAATACAATGAGAATTGTGCCTGGTTAGATCGTGTCACAACAGAGATGAAACTGGCTGGTGGTGACAGTAAAATCATACCCGAGGTAAATATACAATTTTTTGTTTTACTTCATTTATAAATGTTTAATTCTTACGGAACATTAGATGTCACTTCTTACTAATTTGCAATGTTCATCTGGTTTTACACCTTAGTTAGAGGCTTTAATTTAGATTTAAATTTGTAAGAGTTGTTTATCTTTCGATGCTAGGCAACCCATGTTTATATCGTATTATGTTTTATCAGATGTTGGAGATCAGTTTACGAATGCATCAACTTGAAGTGGAACTCAGTGACGCCAGACATCATTCAAAATACCTGAAAAAACTCATCAAAAACCAGGAGAAAAACACAGACGCAAGCGACAAGTACGTATATTTATCTTATTGTGAACCGTAAATTTGGTTGATGAATGATTATTTTAATGTTCCGAACAAAGCATGGGGTATTAAAATGGACTTGGTGCGTCCATCCTTTTTTTGTAAAAAAATATCTTTATGAAACTTACACACTTCAACCTATTGCAGCAGTTGTACCTTTTTCTTATTAGAAATTTTTCAGATTTGATCAATTTTATGTTTCCATGGAAACAAGGTTGACTTAGTTTTTGATATATAATTATTATTCAGATTTAATTTTTCAGATTTAATGTTTGTGTTTCCATGGCGATAAATTTGATGTTTTTATACAAGGACACAGTATGTTAATGTCTGTGTCTTCTTGTATTTTAAACAATTCTCTAAAAATCAGCTTCCAAATGTTGTCTGTTTTTATCTATAGGTTAATAAACCAACTTCTAAAACTAGTGAAAAAACAACATTATACAATCAAAGGTCACAACCTTTTGACCTCTGACCTGCAGCAAGAGTATGACCATGTGAAAGAAGAAATTGACCAACCAGAAGTATCATGGGCTGATGAAACAGTTGCATCAGATACAACAATCGATCAGTTTAAAATAACGGATATTATAAATCTACCCGTTATAAATATGATCTCACTAAAAGGTTAGTTATTTTATACCAACCACACAAATCATACTTTTATTTTTTTAAAGTTTTTAAGGTTTTTTTTCAGTTTGGCACTAAATACTGTGTAACAGTCCTTTGGTAATAAAACTGTTCATGCACTGTTGATCATGATTTTCAACAATTCCAATGAAATTTTAAATCTGGCAATTTTTGACACAATCACTTTTTCCTCTTTGCATTTTTTTTTTTTTTTTTTTTTTTACCTTTGGTAATACGGTTTTTACCTGTGGTGATTAGGTTTTTACCTGTGGTGATTAGGTGTTTACCTGGGGGGGGGGAGGGTTGGATGGCTGAATGGTTAGCACGAGCGTGCTGTATCAAAAAGTCTGTCATTGAGTCAACTGGCGTGGTTTCGAATCCCTGGTTGTACGTGACAAGGAGTTGGGTGGATGGCCAAATGATTAGCACGTGCGCGTTGTAGCATAAGGTCTGTCATTGACTCAACTGGCGTGGTTTCAAATCCCCGGTTGTACGTGACAAGGAGTAGAGTCGCCTGTCCACCTCGTGGGTTTTCTCAGGGTCCTCCGGTTTCCTCCCACTGCTAAATACCCCTACGCGCAAGTGAATTATGGAAACAAATTGAACCATATGTTAGTCCCAAAATGACCTAGTTTGTGTCGAGTGGACGTTAAACACCATTTCTCTCTCTCTCTCTCTCTCTCTCTCTCTCTCTCTTTTGCCTGTGGTGATATGGTTTTTATTCACAAAGTTGCTTAAAGATATTATTTAATTAAAGGCTGTTAAAGATGCATATTTCATAAGATTTAGATAAAGAGCGGACCCTTCTTGCAATTATAGTTTAATAAATAGATAATGAAGAATGAATATATTGAAAATTTCAGGCAAGTTGGCAGATTTAGTGCTTACATAATGCATCTTTAAGCATTGTTTTTTTTCTTGACTATGGGTCTATAATTGTTTTTAAAAAGTAGATATTTTTTTTGTTATTTTAGGTTCAACACCAAGTCGTGTTAGAAACCGTCGAAGATCATCAAATATACAAAAACATCCAGACGCCACCATAACAAAATCTGATGTTAGTGAAAATAAAACAGGTTAGATTTTATATTTGTATATATGATAAATTTATCACAGTCCGGCGCAAAAAGTTCCATTGGTGACTTAGAGGTCCCCAAACTCTTCTCGGTGTTTCGTTTGATTAGACCTAATCCCACTCAAACACTGCCTGACTCACCGCAGATTTCTGTCCCAAATTATGGCTGGTCACAGTCGGGTCGACAGGCAATGCATTATAGCAGAACGGGGGTTGGATGGCCGAATGGTTATAGCGTGTGCGCTGTATTATAAGGTCTGTCATTGAAGCAACTGGCGTGGTCATGTGACAAGGAGTAGAGTTGCCTCTGGGTCTTCTGGTTTCCTCCCACTGCTAAATACCCCTACGCGCAAGCGAATTATTGAAATAAAATTGAACCATATGTTAATCTCAAAATGACCTAGTTTGTGTCAAGTGGATGTTAAACCCGATTTCTCTCTCATTTATAGCGGACCAAAATCAATTGGGATTATCCAGGGCTCTAACTATGTTAACATAAAAGTATATAATGACAATCGTGGCTGCATTACTTCATAACACGCAAATTTAAGTTAGCCGGACAAGCCTTCTTCTTGTCACATACAAGAGTGTGGTCGAATCCATGACTTAGCACCTTAGACAATTTGTGTACACTCCGCCCACACTCCAAACCAACACTGGTTTTATTATACGCCCACATTTAAATATGGTCGTATATTGTCGTCACCCCTGTCCGTCGGTTGATTAATATCTGATTGACTTTATATTTAATACAATGTTAAGGTCATGAGATGAAGAAGCCTATCAATTTTCAACCATTTCCGATCATTATGGCAATTGATATTAAATGTTTTGTATGCTAAATATTAGAATAGGGTAGAACTAGACTAGAAGCCAAATCGGTTGTTACACGTAATCAGATTTTAGTGTGTTGTAAATGTTTTCATTTCTGACCAAAGAAAAAATATGAGCGTATGTTTCGTTGCCAGGCAACCCATCTTTATCATAATTGTGCTTTATAAGGGGATATTTGTTGAAATGTCAGTGATTGTTTCCCATAAAATTGTCTTCTCTTGAAGCATTATGATTATTAGCAAAAATTGGCATAGAAAGGACTAATCATCTACTCTATTTTCAGTTGGCAAGGAAACGATCCAAGCACAGAGAGTACCATGTGATAATAACAGCCAATCAGCAGCCAGAAACCAAGAGACAGATCAGACTAAACTTACTCCATCCCGTGTTTTAATAAACAGTAACGTTCAACAGATGCCTGATCGTAAAAAGGACGAAACTTTTACATTAAATAAACCCCCATCTTTAACTTCTAGTCAGACGACCTCGTGTTTACGACGAGCTGTTCTCAGTGCTAATATGTTTAATCAGAAACCAGTCCACAGTGAAAAAAATAAAAAACAACCTCAAAATACTTCAACAACCAATGAAATCACTCCTAACGTAATTAGATCTTATTCGGCACGAGATGAACGACCCATAACCCCGAAACCATCCTACGACTTTACATCCGCGAATGTAGTGACGTCTTATTCCGCGAGAGATGAACGTCCAGTCACACCCAAATCATCGTATAATTTGACGAACTCGTTGGACGGTGAAAAATCTTCGACAACAAATAAAATAAGAAACACAAATATTGAAAGAGATGAGGAACTTTCCAGCAGCGAAAATTCGACGCCAAATTATTGTTCTCCAGACCTAGTTAAATCTTCTTACAAGGCCCGAGATCAACGCCCAATTACACCGAAATTGTCTTACGACTTTTCGTCTGCGAAAGATACGAATAATGTATCAGCCTACGCAGCTCGAGAAGCACGTCCTATAACACCTAAAGCTTCTTATGACTTTATGTCTGCGAAGGACACGAACAATGTGTCTGCCTACGCAGCTCGAGAAGAACGTCCTATAACACCTAAAGCTTCTTATGACTTTATGTCTGCGAAAGATATTTGTGACAACCCAAGTTCGAATCTCAATTCAACTTACGTTAAACCCGGTGAAAATCACACAGATCCATCCCTTGAACAAACTTATGTCAAGTCAGGATCATCCAGTGTTCAGGATGAAACGGTAATATTATCCAGCCCACGTGTTTTAAAAGAGAACAATATAAACTCGACGACGGTCAATAAAACAACGTCTATAAATAATGCAACTGTTACCAAAGCAGCACCAACAACACAGCAAACGTCTGATCAACCAATCAGAAAGCCTGTAGCAAGATCGATTAAATTTGAATCAACACCACCTTCAGGTATAGTATACATTATCAGTCGCCTTAAAAATAGTAAGTACAGGTGGACCACACCACACACAAACTAAACCCACTCAACACAAATTAGGTCATTACAGGGTTAATATATAGTTCAATTTTACTTCAATAATTCTCTTGCGCATAATGATCTTTAGCAGTGGGAGGAAACTAGAGGACCTAATGAAAGCCCACAAGATTGGACAGGCAACCCTACTCCTTGTCATGTACAAGTAGGGAATTGAAACAATGCCACTTGAGTCTATGACAAACCTTCTGATCTAACTAGCACATCTTAAACCTTTCGGCCACCCGAATCTTCCCAAGTTTAAAGATATATTTCAACTAATAAATGATCTTATTATCCCAAATTACTACTGATAAATGATCTTATTAACCCAAATTGACACTGTTAAATGATCTTATTAGACCAAATTACTTCCAATAAATGATTTTATTAGCTCAAATTACTACTAATAAATGATCTTATTAGACCAAATTACTACTGATAAATGATCTTATTAGCCCAAATTACTACTGATAAATGATCTTATTAGGCCAAATTACTACCGATAAATGATCTTATTAGCCCAAATTACTACTGATAAATGATCTTATTAGGCCAAATTACTACCGATAAATGATCTTATTAGCCCAAATTACTACTGATAAATGATCTTATTAGCCTCAGGGGCGTGCTGATAAATTTGATAACGGGAAACGCGTTTTGCAAGCACTTCTGGGAGAAATCTAGGTATCATATTTTCCAAATTTATGCTGCTATTTTGACTATAAGACATACTACTGTACTACACAAGACACTCATGACAGGTCTGCTTAATATAATGCTAATACAATGTATTTCTATCCAAATAATAAATTGCATCTTATACATATCGAGGCATGAATACATGTATCAAAGACCATTTCACCGTAAGGTGACAGACATTTGTAAGGTGACAGACATTTGCACGTCAGCATAATATACATGTATTTTACTTAATACTAATCGTTGTTTATGTATGATTTTTCGCGTGCGCACTCTCAATTTTTTGAGGGGATTCCGCGTGAAAATTAGAGCTCTCAGGGGGGCCCGCTTATACGGGTGGACTTATTGTTTAATGGGGGCCTGGGAGGACACCGTCCTCCTAAATTCCCTGCCAGCACGCCCCTGATTAGCCTAAGTTACTACTAATAAATGATCTTATTAGCTCAAATTACTACTGATAACTGATCTTATTAGCTCAAATTACTACTGGTAAATTAGCCCAAAATGAAATATATCTTGATATTGTCTTGATTCTATTTTGCAGGTACAGGTATGTCGTATGCCGATGTTGTTAAATCACCATCACCTGTTAGAACACCTTTACTTCAAATAAACAACAATACTAAACAAACAAACAGGTAAATCTCATCAAAATAATTAAAGATTTACAGACTATTTCAGTATATCCCAGTCATACAGCAATTAAACTAAACAATTTCTACATTAAAAGCACTAGAAAATAATGTCTCGATTGTCTAATAATAATAATATGTTGATTTATAAAGTGCTAGATCCACAAAACAGGCTCTTTTCTGTTACACAGATTCAGTATGATTCAGGCTCTAGTAACAGATTCTGTATGATTATTCATCTGATGTTTATTGTTAAAAATATTTCATAATTTTTTATTTTTATGTCATGATTTAGGTTGAATATTACTCCTCAGCAGCAGTATAAAATAAACCTTGATACCTGTACACCCAACTATAAACTAAGCAATACATGTAAAGAGAATTTACATAAACTTCGACAGAATATGGAGAAATCAAGGTCTAATACAAGTAAGTATGATAGTTTGAAATCTTTGTCTACAATAATACGAGTATGATAGTTTGAAATCTTTATAATTACAGCTAAGTATGATAGTTTGAAGTCTTTGTCTATAATACAGCTAAGTTAAAGTAACCCCGGTATGATAGTTTGAAATCTGTGCCTATCATGATACAAGTATGATAGTTTGAAATACATGTCTATAATAATATTTGTATAATAGTTTAAAATGTGTCTATAAGTATGATAGTACAACTATTTGAAATCGGTCTACCATGATACGCATTCTATTTCTTTTGACAATTGCACAGCCATTGACAGACTAAGATTTTTGATATGAAATCATGGCTGGGATGACATCATGGTCGGGATGACATCATGGCTGGGATGACATCATGGCTGGGATGACATCATGACTGGGATGACATCACATGACTGGGATGACATCATGGTCGGTGCCTTGTTCATATTTTATATGCATATACTTGTTCTTTTCAGATGCCTAACCGAATTAATAGATTAAAACATATGATTAAAAGAACATAGATCCCATTTTGTTGTCTATATATAGCAAAACTCTTAGTTTGTACTACAAACTTGGTACTTAGTTCCAAAATCTGATTTTTAAAATGTCTATAAACATACAAAAATCTTCTCTCAAGAAAATCTGGGTTCCTCCCACTTCTAAAGACACCTATGCGCAACCATATGTTACTCCCGAAATTCACCTAGTTTGCTCTCTCTCTCTCTCCAGAAAAAATGAATTTTTCGAAATATTACAATTCAGGGGTTGTAATACCGATGTAGCCTTAATACAAATATTGATATTGTTACAGAAGGTAGCAGCACTAGAACCAGACCTAATTATATGTCAATGACGAAATCGATAAGAAATCGACTCCAGTTTAAAGATGATGATCCCATGACAGCTAGACGAGTTCCTGTTACATCTAAATATTCATTAAACAGGTAGGTGTACAATAATAATATTATATTTTCGTTGGAAGCCATGGTGGCTCAGTGAGTAAGAAGTTGGCTTGCTAAGCTGGAGGTCCTGTGTGGTGTGTTTGATCCCTGTGTTGACAGAAAGTTCATCAGAATTCTCCAGCATGGTTCCCCCTTGTCATTGTTGCAGAGTAGGCTGTTGCGCTGCTGTCCGGGGAAAATTTCCCTCAATAGCACACTGTATGGCGTATGCCTGTCTTCATTAGCCCAGTTTGGAGAACAGTAGGACGTTAAACCATTTCATTTCTCCGTCCTTCCATTTATATTTATTGCTGATTAGTGTTTAAAGAAGTCTCTGTTCGTCCTTTGATAGATCGTTAACCACATGTCAACTACAATATTGAGAAAGTTGAATCTATATATATTAAGAATTGATCATCTAAACATTTCACACCATTCAGAATCCACTGCAGATCATATATAGTGGGGGTTGGGTGGCTCATATATAGGATAGTGAACAAAAGCTGGGAGATTTTGTTTTCTTAACTAAGTGGACATTTTCCCAAAAATGCAAATAAATAATTTGATGTTTTTGTTTATCTTTTAGGGGAATGTCGAAGAGTAAATCAACGTCACATTTGTCTCGAAATGGCTGGCAGTTCTAGTCTATATTTATTTATCCAGTCGTTTTTATCCACATTAATACTCAATAAAAATACATAAATAATTTTTATAATCTAAAATCATGTAGAAAAGTTGAAAATATTTGAATAATTAATTTAATGACTATATTAACCTCTAGTGCTATCTGTATAAGGTTTTTTTATATCATATTTTTATTCTTTTCTATGTTTGGCAAGTATCATGAGCCTCGTATAAATATATGTGCATGGAAATTCTCTCATCAGAATTAAATCAAAATAAATTTTGTTCCTTTGGCACTAAGTTTATCCTGCGTAAAATCATTTCTAGAATGTTTGGCGATTATCACGAGCCTCCTATTAGTGTATGTACATGGAAATACCCTTATTAAAATCAAATCGAAATAAAGTTTGCTCTTTTGGCACCAAGTTTATCCTGGTAAAATCACTTCTAGAAGTCATATAATGTTTACAAAACTAATATATTTCTGTATATTTTGGCACCCAGTTTATCCTGCGTAAAATCATTGCTAGAAGTGTATAATGTTTACAAAATGAATATAGATTATTCCCGACATTTTGCTATTTATTTATATATTCTTTTAATTATGTTGCATAATCCAAGTTGTGATTTTTATTAAATTATGTTTATTTTTCTCTCATAATCCTACATATTGGTCAGTTGGATAAACATTTACAGTATGTCATATGTTAGTCCCGAAATAACATAGCTATATTCCTCCAACAGCTAAAGACCCCTTCGTGCAAGCTAATAATTGAAATAAAATCAAACCATGTTAGTCCTGAAATGATTTATTTGTGTCGAGTGGACATTAAACCCCATTTCTCTCTCTCTCTCTAAATGCTGATGCTCAAAATAAAATAATTACATTCCTATTGCTGTTACATCCACGATGTCCACTGTGGTTGAGTGTTGGGATGAGGAAGTCATGAGGTTTGTCATCAATCCATTTATCGTGTTTATGAATCGTTATGTTCGATATAGACCCGCTTTGAACCGTTATGTTCGATATAGACCAGCTTTAAACCGTTATGTTCGATATAGACCAGCTTTGAACTGTTATGTTCAGTATAGACCCGCTTTGAACTGTTATGTTCGATATAGACTGGCTTCAAACTGTTATGTTTTCGATATAGACCAGCTTCAAACTGTTATGTTCGATAAAGCCTGGCTTTGAACCGTTCTGTTCAATACAGATTGGTCGTTGTTAGCATGTAATTGTTTCATTGTATTTCATCTTTTATCATTGTTTGTACATAATGAATGGTTTCATCATGTTCATCATCAAGCCTAGACATAAGACACCTGTCACCGATATTGCCATACACAAATTATCACACGACTACAACACATATTACATTAAAATACAGATGTGACAGAATCCTTTGATGTTGGTGTACAATTATTTCAAATAATGATACGGGCAATGTGCCGAGCATACATTATTTATACTAGTTGAAATATTGGACCGGCATGACGTATTTCATTGCAATGCACGTGCTGGATAGTGTCTGTATTTTGTATTTTAAGTTGTTTAATGGTTTTATGCAAGACATTGTGTAATATATAGATATATCCCTCGTGCTAAACGCACTCGTACAATATCAATATATTACTTAATGTCTCGCACTCGACCATTAAAGGACAATATTGGTGTCAGTCATTATCACATATGTGATAGAACAAATTAAACACGTTCCAAATATAATTTTAACACAGAGATCATCACTTCCGATTCAGGAAACCTGTATTACTCAGCTATCGTAGCAATGATCTCTGTGTTAAAATTATATTTGGAATGTTTAACCAGCTCTATATCACATATGTGACAATGACTGGCACCAATATTGTCCTTTAAACTACACATATAAACAGAGATTGTGTGATAATTTGTGTCTGATGACAATGTCGGTGATAGGTATATTATGTCCAGGTGTGTTCATCTTGTAAATAATGTATTGTATTATTTCTGCTACCAAAAAATAAAACCAGGTGATATGCTAGTTTATACTTTTATTTTTTAAAAGATAGTTTCCCCGGCATCATTCTCCCAGTATTTGGCTGGAACTATAAAACAAGGTCCAGTGTATATGTTGGCGGGTACGTAAAAAAAGCCTCGACGGGCAAAATTTTCCTTATAACACACTGTTTTGCGTATGCCTGACTTCATTAGCCCAGTCGGTGCAGAAAAGTAGGACATTAAATCCTGTTCCATTTCATTTTTTCCCGCAACTGCAGCTTCGTTATTATCAGGCCATCATTACCAGATGTTAGTCTCAAAATGACCAAAGTATTGTGCCAACATACCCCATTCCAATATATTTGAATTCTGGCTAAAGTTACTGTGATTGGTTTTATCATTATCCATTCTTAAAGCGAGAATTTCATATTTTCTAAGAAAGTCAAAACATAATTATTTCTATGCCTTTTGCTCAATAGGTTGTCAACTCACTATCATCCGATCATAGGTATCATTCTCACACTTAAAAATCATTGACCCCGGAAATAATAACACAATTACCTCCCTTGTTTTTCTATCCCCCCCCCCCCCTTGGAATAGCTATCTTCAAACGTTTGAATTTGAAGTTGAAAATGATATTTTTGCCAATTTCTCAACTGGCAATAGTGAATTATAGGATTGTTCTTTAACAAGGTTGGACTGTTTATAGACACCATCTATTTTAAGGCTTTATTTTAATACATTTTAAAAGTATAATTTAAAAATATGAAATTATCGCTTTAAGCAAATTCAAATGTGTTCGTGCGTAATCACTATCAATATGACTAAAATGGGGTTTAATGTCCTACTCCGCCAATTGGGTTAATGAAAACGGGCATACTACTTCTGGTAACCTAACTCTAGCCTCTCTTGACCCCAGCTAACATCCCTGTTTTAGACTCTCACTAGCAGATTTAGAGGGGTGGATCACGGAGACTATTACTGAAGTACTATATATATATATACATATTTTATTATTTTGATCAACCAATATAAATATTACAACAAAACAACAAGGAATGAGGTGAGGTGATCAAACCCAAGGTGATGGTCATTACTTCACTCTGAACCGAGATATTAGCGATTCAATTTTAGGCTAGCCTCGATCGTCATTACTACCGTTGGTACGATAATAAACACAGTCTCGGTTATCCATTTTTACATCACAAAACATATTCAAATCCACTAAATATTGCAGGCTAACAATGCCATCCAGAGTTGATTATGGTCTTGTAATGTTAATTAAAGATACATTATGTAAGATTTAGATAAAGAACTAGCCATTCTTTCTATAATAGTTCGAAAGTAGATGATGTAAATTGAAAATTTCATTCAAATTACTCTATTGCAAGCGAAGATATTATCCTTTGAAGGTTTGACAGACGTGTGCAATAATTTCAACCACCGTACTGGTTGATCGAAGCTAAGTCTCGGTCCTCCATATTTGATTAAATCAAAGTATCGCTGAACCATTCTAATCTATTTAATATCGGAGAAATCTGATGCCATCGAGAGTTGATTAAGGCCTGGATCAGTTAATTAATGTCTAATTAACACTTTAGAAAACATTTCAGGCCTAAAGAAAGACCTGCAATAGGCAGATTTAGCTCTTGCATAATGTATGTTTAATGCTTAATCAATAATTTATATAACATTTAAGGCCTAAAAAAAGACCTGCAATAGGTAGATTTAGCTCTTGCATAATATAACACTTAAGGCCAAAAGAAAGATCTGCATATAATGTATGTTTAAATAAAGCATAAATGCACATATTTTAGATGAAAATCATTGTGTGTTTAATTGACCACTGCTGATATGTTTTCAATTTGGTTTTCATCCTTGTCAATTTTTATCTACAGATGTGCAGTCATCTCTTTTCCTAATGGGAGTCTATGTGTAACTTTTTACTCATTCAGTTCATGTTTCAAATTTTAGAACCCGCATAACAATTCTGGCATTGTGTCATATGTTCCAAAAAAAATTTTAAATTGTATGACTGGAATTAAATGATGGTTTTTTTTTGTTGTTTTTTTTTAAAAAACGGGACAAGTGAAATTAGAAACTTTCAAATTTTTTAAAACAACCTTATGCTAAATTGGTCCGAGCATTTAATACATTTAGGGGGGGGGGGGGAAAAATATTCTTCAGATGCTTTCGGTTGAATCTGAAACTGTGTCTGTATCAGATGACGATGAACTAAGTTGTGTCGGGATTTGAGCCGGTTTCCGTGGTTTCGTAATACCTAATGCTGATTTTGATCGTGCAGGCATTGTGGGACGGACTAACATGGTGCGAGAAGGGGGGTTACTCTGTGGTGCTCTCTGTGGTGCAACCTCTGGTAATCTGTAATGAAAGAAATATAATTTTTTAAAATAGAAACTAGACATTTAATATCTATACATAAATGAAATAATAAATTTGATATATTGGCAGGAGTGGAATCGAATGGGTTTTATTGTTTTGTCAACACGATAGTTTGGTCATTTAGAGACGAACATATGGTTAATTTCACAGGGAGGTAGAATTTTGCCCATAAAGCAACATTTCTGCCTGCTCTTTTTCAAATTCCAAATGTCAAGGGTTCTTTCTACATGCACGGCTTTCCATCCTATCCAAGCAACAAGGGCAAGGCACACATTCCTTGTCAGCTTTGTAGGCACCACCCCTCACCAGTGAAGCCCAGGCGTGAAAAATCCCTTCCGGTTCTTTATGGCCCCTGTTTGAATTTCAACCCGAGGTTATCTACACAAGATAAGTTTCCCAAGCTCCTGATAAAAAGGCAGATATACCGGTAACTACATTGGATGACAATAAACAAAAGTTTTGCCAACAGTTTAAATTATTACAGTTCAGCTATAAATAAACTACTATTGTTGTATCATAGATAACAAATCGCAATTTCCCTTCTACTCTTAAACCTACAAATCGGATCATCTTTATTTATAAAAAAAATATTCATTTTTCATCGAACATTATAAAAGTTCTTAGGTGTCTACCCGACCTGACAATTTTCAAAAAGGTAATGTTTTCTGATGGAAATTAAATATATATATATATAACTTTTAATAACTAACGATGATGTACGATTTGGAGTATCAGCGAAAGTATGATTTGTAGTTATGAAGCGAAGTTATAGATAGAAAGGGTGCACGTATTTAAAGTTTGATATTGTTCAAGGCAGATGATACAAGATGAGGGTTCAGGATTCAGACAGAAACTACACAAATTATTATAGAATAGGCATACCTGTAAATCCCAATTCTATACAAAGCAAATATTACTTGCACAGCAAAATAAATTTTAGATCTATGAGAAATTGTTTTACAATATTTAATTTGTAAATTGAACACACCAGGACTTCAGTACCATATATAAGCTAGGAAGCTGCATTACCAGTATAAATAACAGGACCGGTGTCGGGGTTTGAGTCGTTCTACATTTACTGGATAAAAAAGTATTTATTTGGTTCTTTGCTTTTATAAGAAACCTATTTATTTATCTTACCACTTTATTTTTTTTTTTTAAATGAAATGGAGTTAAAACTCTATGTTTCTGCACTGACTGGGTTAATAAGGTTGTCATATGCCATGCAGGGTAATTTTATCTGGACAGTTTTTTAAATTACCATTCTGCTAGAGAGAGAGAGAGAGAGAGAGAGAAAAATGGGGTTTAACATCCACTTGACACAAACTAGGGGTCTTTAGCAGTGGGAGGAAACCGGAGGACCTGGAGAAAACCCACGAGGTTAGAAAGGTGACCCTACTCCTTGTCACGTACAACCAGGGAATCGAAACCACGCCAGTTGACTCTATGACAGATCTTACGATACAGTGCATTCGGCCCCCACCCCCACCATTCTTCTAGTGAACCTGACTAGTGAAGTCCTGATGTTTAATAAGTCTAGATAATGAGAGATTTTACTTACTGAAGATAAAGAACGAAGGATTAGTATAATCCTAATAAAGGTCCCATAACATATATATCATACGCTGGCTTAAAACTGAATATTAGTCAATATATAAGATTAGTAGATAAATATAACATTAGGATATAAGATATAATAAGTATGAACGTGTTTTATGAACCAGGAACTAAGTATGATGTCATCTAGCCATCTAGGAATTGTGATGTCATATGAGTTATCTCTACATATGATATTACAAACGAGCATGACATCATCACTACCATCTTGGAATTGTGATGTCATATGAATTATCTCTACAATATATATATACAACTGAGAATGACGTCATCACCACCATCTTGGAATTGTGCCATCACATCAAAAATCGATGTCTGGCAATTAATGCACAATTAATAAGCATGCTAATTTTCATGTCAATAGTATTTGAATTGGCAGAGCCATATTTTTTTCAAATTCTTTTGCTCCCAAGAATAAGAATAAAAAGATGAGTAGCCTTGGAACTCAGTTCCTGGTACATAAATGCATAATTAGATAAATCAGAAAAACTCTTTATTCTTTAGACCAAAATGTGTGAATTTTGCCATGGCGGCATCAAACTCGATCCACTAACAAATTTCAGATTGAATTCTTGGTTTAGGTTTTGTTTTAAATAGATATTCCACAGTGGACAGTAAAAATATTGAAATGACAGTTCACATATACTAATATCATAGTGCCAACTCAGTATATTCTCAGTTGGCAAAATTTGATAAATAAAAAATCTTTACAAAAGTTTTTTATAAATTTTCCATCAATTTTAATGTTTTTGTACATCTTCCATCAATTTTACTATTTTTTTGTACATTTTCCATCAATTTTAATGTTTTTTGTACATTTTCCATCAATTTTAATAATTTTTCCATCAATTTTAAAAGTTTTTCTGTTTCACAAGATCAATGATAACACAGGCTTGAAGAGGTCCGTAAACCATGTAATTATTGTCACAGATAATAATTTCATGCTTTACAGTTTGGCACCAGTTAATTTATAAATACAGATAAGCCAAAGCAATCTAATTCTTAATTCTTTGCGGTCATGATAAAATAATTAATCACTCAAATCTTTTGAACAAAGCTTTGTTTAAAATTTCAAAACTTAAAAAATTAAATGTCACCAGAAAAGCATCATTTTTTTTTAAATAATGCAAGTAATAATGTCAACATATCCTTTCCATAAGTATTACCCGAACCCCAATGTCAATATTACCTGCAAAAGGTAAATTTCAACATTAGTTATTTCCGCCGTTCTCCGTGGGTAGTCGTAACTTTCGGCCAATAAGCAATCCGTGACTTCATTTTAGTCCTTCTGCACTAGTCCTTGAGCAGAAGGACTAAAATGACGTCACAGATACGGAAAGTTACGACTACCCACGAAGAATGGCGGAAATTACTAATGTTGAAATTTACCTGTTGCAGGTAATATTGACATTGGGGTTCATGTTATACTTATGGAAAAGATATGTTGACATAATTACTTGCTTTTTTTTAAAAAAATGATGAACCTTTTCCGGTGACCTTTAAAGATACATTATGTAAGATTTAGATAAAAAGCTAGCCATTCTCGCTATAAAAGTTCGAAAATAGATAATGTAAAATGAATAATTTGAAAATTTCATTCAAATTACTCTATTGCGAGCGAATATATTAGTCTCTGAGGTTTTGACAAGACGTTTGCAATAATTTCAACCACCGTACTGGTTGTTCGAAGCTAAGTCTCACACCTCCATTTTTAGTTTAAACCAAAATATGGCCGAACTGTTCTAATCTATTTAAATCAGATAAATCCGATACCATCGAGAGTTGATAATTGCCTGGATAAGTTAATTAATAATTCAGAAACATTTCAGGCCTAAAGAAAGACCTGCAATAGACAGATTTAGCTCTTGCATAATATATGTTTAAACTAAAAGTTTTTGATGAGAGCAAACAAGTATTTTTTTGTTTTTAAATTATAAAAATTTAAATTGGCTTGGCCTACAGACATGTTAGTAGGATTAATGAATATGTAAAACAAATTTACTTTCCTTTATCTGGTTGTGGTGTAGATTTTTATTCAATCAGGGATATAAATAAAGACAGACATACATGCTAAAACAACGGCTCAAATTCAATAATTTTATTGAGTCCTTGAGTCATTTAAACTATTTAAACATTCAAAATCGAACAGATTTTATTAAATAATTTGGAATGATGATTTATCAGTGGAAGAGGAAGGCGTAGAGAAGAGAAATGGAGATGTGTTGGATACAGGAACTGTGTTGAAAAGGGGTTGTGTGGGTGTTTAAGGGATTCAGGAGATAGTGGAATGCAGAAATTTGTGAAAGATGGCTGTGTATATATATATACAAGAAACAAACAAACAATATTAGACATATTCTTGCAAGTTTTATTATTTATTTATTATTATTGTTACTTTTATACAAAAATATAATACAAAATGAAAGTAGTATATCAATGGTTGACGTTTATAAATATGTCAATTATCACTGTAACCCAGGTATCATTTAATCTTGTGTATTTAGAACTAATTTCTTTAAAATTCGTTTAATATCAAATCTTTGTTTAAAACTTCATAAAAGTCATTTAAAATCACCCAAAATCTAATTTGTACTTGTGTCCAGTTTAAAACTGAGTGATCAATTTTGATAATGAGTGTCCAAATTACAAGTATTTAATTTCCTGACCACTGTTCAACCATTAATCATTATACATCATTAATCAATTGGGTTGTTTATTTTTCAACAGTGATTGAGAAATTAAACACTTGTAAATTGGACACTCATTATCAAAATTGAATGGTCAGCTTTAAATTGAACACAAGTACAAATTGAATGATTTTAAACAATTTTTATGAATTTTTAAACCAAGATTTGATATGTAAATGAATGTGAAAGAAATTAGTGCTAGATACACAAGATTAAATGATAACTGGGTTAGAGTGTATAACAACTGTTATAAATCTGTTTCATCATAAATAGAGTTTATATTTTTGTTAGAAGTTATCAGTTTTGTGAATCATGCACTCAGTAACATTTAAACATGATCATGATCTGATCATTGCCAAGTAAAATTCTGTACGGAGCCAGTTTGCCAAGTTCAATTTGAGGGTTAAGTTGTTAACATGAATAATGTCACATGATTTTAGTTGGTCCAATTAAAATGCCATGTTAGAGATTAGACAATATCAATAATTCCAAATTTGGGCGGGTTAATATTAAAATTAAAATATCAACCAATCACCATGCAGTTATGATTAAACAACGAACCAATCACCATGCATTATTTTAAATATTAACCAATCACCATGCAGTATTTCAAAATATTATCTTACGATGTTAGTTCTGTGTCTCCACCTTCCAGTAATTCCATCTTGGGTGGTAAACGACCTAAAATATAAGGTAAAAATATTTAAAACACAATATGCAATGAAATACGGAGTTGAACATAGTCTCTAAAATTGTAAACATAGTCTCATAACTAGTAAACAATCTCTCAAATAGTAAACAGGTTCTTAAAAAATAGTCTCTAAAGTAGTAAACACATTCTCTAAAATAATAGTGTGTAAAATAGTAAACACATTCTCTAAAATAATAGTGTGTAAAATAGTAAACACATTCTCTAAAATAATAGTGTGTAAAATTGTAAACACATTCTCTAAAATTATAGTGTGTAAAATAGTAAACACATTCTCTAAAATAATAGTGTGTAAAATAGTAAACACATTCTCTGAAATAATAGTGTGTAAAATAGTAAACCCATTCTCTGAAATAACAGTGTGTAAAATAGTAAACACATTCTCTAAAATAATAGTGTGTAAAATAGTAAACACATTCTCTAAAATAATAGTGTGTAAAATAGTAAACACATTCTCTAAAATAATAGTGTGTAAAATAGTAAAAACATTCTCTAAAATAATAGTGTGTAATAGTAGTGTGTAAAATAGTAAACACATTCTCTAAAATAATAGTGTGTAAAACAGTAAACACATTCTCTAAAATAATTATCTCTAAAATAGTAAATATTCTCTAAAATGAAATACGTACCTATATGTGCGTTAATTGATTCACTTTTTGCTATAGATATTAGAAAACCGTAAAATGAGATTCGTGGAATGTTGAAGAGGATTTCTTTTAAAGAAGAAATTGGTGGTGAACTGAAATATAAAATCGTGATTAAATTTAAAATCAACCCATGTCTTACAAAACCTAATTTATTTCAATCACTAAACCAATCAATGCCACTTTAAACGGTATCGTTAAAGTTAGACCAACTATTTTCAACAAAGTTTCCATAATCTTAAATATATATTGAGAAATAATCCCTTCTTATATAACACAAGCCAAAAAGTTTTTGCAAGCAAGAAATTAATTTTGATTAAACGTGATGTAATTGGTTCAACACTCTTATTGGTCTAATTATATAGTCGCTCCTGTCAATGAATGCACCTGTTGTGTGTGTCTGCATTGTTATCATTTGAGGCTGAACATTCAAAGTCCCAGACAGGAATAACAAATGAAAATTAATTTACAGGAATAACAAATGAAAATTAATTTACAGGAATAACAAATGAAAATTAATTTACAGGAATAACAAATGAAAATTAATTTACAGGAATAACAAATGAAAATTAATTTTGTTGTGTTACATATCTGATCAAAAATATAGGATGGAAAATCTAAGACCCCAATACGTCCGATCCTCCAATTAAAATCTTAAAGATATACATCCAACCTTACCTATATTCTATTCTATCGCACAGCGGGTAAATAGCACGGAAAAAATGCATAGAATCCACATCTTCTGAACGGTGCCCACTGTTTTGATGGACAGTAGCTTCTTCACTGCCTGACGTCGGCACAACAACCGGATCTCGCGGACTACAAAAACTTTGTAACAAAGATCGATACTTGGCTGAACATTTCTCTAAAAATTCTGAAAATCAAATTAGAGACATCAGTGTTAAAAATAATAAAAACATAAACTGGTAATTCCTAATCAAACAACTTTCTTCGAAATATCAAATATATGACAAAGTCTCTTGGATTTGGCTCTAAATTTGAGACATTTGGGTAAAAACAATAAGTTTAGTAATGAAAACATAAAATCAATAATTCTGTATAAAACAATTTTCTTAGAAATTTTAATTTCAAATGGTATGGTTGCTTTGATTTGGTTCGATTTTTCGATATTTTGGGGTAAAAACTATAATTTTTGTAATAGAACCAGCTTCCAGTAATAAAGTGATTTTCCTTTGATTTGGCTTGGAATTTGATATATTCAGGTAAAGAAAACCTTAATTTTGGCAATAAAACCATCAACTGTTATAAAGCCTTTTTCCCTTGAATTGCATCTAAACTTAATTTGTTGATTTCAGTTGATTTTATACGTTATGAGTTTTATGGTTGATGATTTTATGTCTAAAAATAAAGTCAGTAAACATAAAAGTCTGCTTCTAATCTTGAGTTTTGCATTATTATGTAAAATAAAGATAATTTCAAAATACTGTTACATAAGATGTACTCGAGCTTTAACAAATTGTCCCGGAGAGCCAAAAAATGTATGTCATATTTATCCAGATTTTCTCAAATATTTCTGTAAAAAAATGTATGTGTAGCCGTTTAAACAGTATGTAGCTATCCAAACATATCAGGCTAAACATCTGGTGCAGAAATAAACAGCAGTTTTGAAATACGACAGCTAGATGAAAAGATGCGCAAGAAAATTTTGAAGAAGCAAAAAGGTAATTTTCGATACCACCTTTTGACTCCCATGCAACCATCATATTTACGTTTATAACAAAGAAAATTTTAAAAGCTGGTATATAAAATGAATTGAAATGATGTGGTGTCTAATGTCCTACTATTCTACTCCAACTGGGCTAATGAAGACGGGCATATGCCATACAGTGTGCCATGAGGGACATTTGGCCTGGACAGCAGCGCTACGACCTACTCTTATATAAAATTCAAACTGCCAAGGGATCTTGGTTTTTCGTCCTATACAAATAACTAGATAGCTGTCCTGTCAAGCCGTCCGTCCTGCACCAACTGGTATATATATATATATATATAGAGAGAGAGAAATGTGGTTCAACGTCCACTCGACACAAACTAAGTCATTTCGGGACTAACAAATGGTTTAATTTTATTTCAATAATTTGCTTGCGTGTAGGGGTCTTTAGCAATGGGAGGAAACCCATGGTGTTGGACAGGCGACCCTACTCCTTGTCACGTACAACCTGGGAATTGAAACCATGCCAGTTGACTCAATGACAGCGCGCCCATGCTAACCATTCAGCCATCCAACCGCCCCAAACTGGTATATAAGGTATATATCTACCTTGATAACATGAACCATTTGGCCATCCACCCTTCCCCACCCCCAAACTGGTATATAAGGTGTATATCTACCTTGATAACATGAACCATTTGGCCATCCGCCCACCCCCCACCCCCAAATGGTTTATAAGGTGTATATCTACCTTGATAACATGAACCATTCAGCCATCCAACCCCCCCTCCCCCAAAAAACTGGTATATAAGGTGTATATCTACCTTGACAACATGAACCATTCAGCCATCCACCCCCCCCCCCCCCCAAACTGGTATATAAGGTGTATATCTACCTTGATAACATGAAACATTTGGCCATCCGCCCACCCCCCACCCCCAAATGGTTTATAAGGTATATATCTACCTTGATAACATGAATATCTACCTTGATAATATGTATATATAATTACCTTCATAATAAACCTGAGCTTGAAATGCATAGATAAAATCAGTGAAAGATATTAAACAATCTAAAGCATCATCTATTAATATAATTCTGGCTGTTTTCTTGACAACATCGAATGGGAAGTCAGGGGAGATAAGTCCCAGTAGAGAATGATATTCCTGTATACTTAATAAATCTGCAAAATCAAAAAATATATAATTCAAAGAATTATCAACACAATCAGAGAGAGAAAGAGAAATGGAGTTTTAGTGAATATAACATGTCAACATAAAACTATAACACGTCAACATAAATCAGCAGACCAATGGCTCATCTATAACTCGTCAACATAAATCCGCCCGTCATGTACAACTAGAATTATCAGAATCATCAAAAGACGAGAGAGAGAAATGGGGTTTAACATCCACTTGACACAAACTAGGTTATTTTTGGACTAACACATGGTTCGATTTCATTTCAATAATTTGCTTGTGCATTTATTCCAGGACCAGAGAGAGAGAAATGGGGTTTAATGTCCACTCAACACAAACTAGGTCATTTCGGGACTAACATATGGTTTAATTTTATTTCAATAATTTGCTTGTGCATAGGGTTCTTTCGCAGTGGAAGGAAACTGGAGGACCTGGAGAAAACCCACAAGGTTGGACAGGCGACCCTACTCCTTGTCACATAACAACCGGGGAATCAAAACCATGCCAGCTGACTCCATGACAGACCTTATGATACAGCACGCACATGCTAACCATACCATCAAAAGAATAAATTAATGGACTTTACCTCCTTTTTTACCAATCTGTCGATAACATTTCCAGAACAAGCGAACAAAACTTGCCCTGTTATGAGGGGTAGAATGAATGAAGCTATACTCTCTAAACATCGTATGGTTGCCATCTCGAACGCTGGAGAAACTACAATTAATACATACATATAAAATAATAGAGAGAGAAATGGGGTTTAGCGTCCTCTCGACACAGACTAGGTCATTTCGGGACTATGTAAAATAATAGAAACTATACATTCAGAACCAAATATAATCATTGTATAAATAAAGTAATAGAAACTACAGAACCAATTGATTATAATCTTTGATGTTTCATCAATTAGGGTAAATAATAACATTATTATATCCCCCTTCCCCCAATTGACAATTATTATATGAAACAAACAATTATTGCCATTAGGCCTGGTACATGTAATACTGAGTTTATATGTACCTGACCTGACTATTTAATCCTGAATCAAACATATCAACAAAAATACAGACTGACAAAATGACAGGCACTAAAGGAAAAATGCTGGACAATCCCCAAATTTGTGTCTGTGAAAGGTGGCGTATTTCCAGGTTGGAGAGCCATGTAGAATAAGAATAAAATTTTAAAATAAGAAATTAGAATTACCAGACCAATTTACATGACAAGAAAGAAACATACACACAGACAGGGTCGACTGCAAAATGTCCACATTATGAATGTGCACGTAGAAAAAAAGAATAAATATACATACTAATCAGTGAGAAATTTAACTGAATTAACTTTAGAATTTTCTTCTCTGTGTTCCAGTAATTGTGTAACAGCATCTTCTAAATACACTAAAATATTGTGTTTAGCTGAAATCAAATAAAAATAGAAATAACAAAGTAAAAGAAAATATCTAAGGGAGAGAGAGAGAGAGAGAGAGAGAGAGAGAGAGAGAGAGAGAGATGGGGTTTAATATCCACTCAACACTAACTTGGTCATTTCGGGACTAACATATGGTTTAAATTTATTTCAATAATTCGCTTTCGCAGACATGTATCTTTAGCAGTGGTAGGAAACGGCCTCTGAGGCAACCTTCCACTACAACCAGTCAGATCTTCATGTAGTGTAGGCCATCAAAAGTATAAAAAAAAAGAAATGAAATATAGATCTGTATTTTGATCAGATTGAATTTGAGAGCGAAAGTGATCATGTCTGTTTATTTAAATGATTCATATACCAACAGACATTTTAGAATATATAAAAAAAATTTACTTAAATATTTTTCTGCAGGCATCGAGTATCTGTCTTCCTCTGCCATTTTACACAACTCACTAATTGGATCTATAAAAGAAAATAAATGAAATGAAATGGGGTTTAACATCATATTGTTCTGCTACAAGAAAATAATATAAATCTTGGGGGTCAAACTCATCAGCAGTTAACGACAATACTATATACCGGAAAACACTGGAAAACTACCAGAAAACACCATATTATACTGAATACCGGAAAACACTGGAAAACACACTAAATACCGGAAAACACCCTAAATAGGTAACCCGGAGCCTGGTCCCCTGTGTTTGGGGGGGTTAGGGTTAGGTTTTTCCAGTGTTTTCCAGTAATCAGTATAACATGGTGTTTTCCGGTAGTTTTCCGGTGTTTTTCTGGTATATAGTATAGCCCGCAGTCAATATTTGCTAGTCGGCTACAATCAGTGAGAGGGTAATTACATGTAGCTCAACATATTAACTTCACAGTACGTGAAGGCGTAAAAGGCACCATTCTGTCCAGACCAGTTTACGTTACTTCGTCTTATTTAAAGATACATTATGTAAGATTTAGATAAAGGGCTAGCCATTCTTGCTATAATAGTTCGAAAATAGATAATGTAAAATTAATAATTTGACAAGATGTGTGCAATAATTGCAACCACCATACTGGTTCTCGCTCCTTCATTTTCAGATTAAATCAAAGTAAGGCATCGAGAGTTGATTATGGTTTTGTCATGGTAATAAATGTCTAATTAATAGTTTATATGACATTTCGGGCCTAAAGGAAGACCTGCAATAGACAGATTTAGCTCTTACATAATGTATGTTTAAACAATGTATTTATGTGCCATCGTGGCCAATCGTGTGATATGACTGACATCACATGTTGAATGCATGTGAACTTTATAAAGGTCAGCCATCTTACACAGAGTTAGAAGAAGACTTTCGCATTGCCTCTATGAAGCAGATTGTCTTGTAGTTGATAGACATGCAAATGAAAAAAAAAGAAAATCATGATACCGTATAAATCCGGGAATAGTCTTACAGATGTGAATAAATGAAAATCATTTTTTAATTTGATTAAATGACAAAATTGGTGTCGGACAATATTTATAATTTTATATATGTGATAGAACTGGTTAAACACATTCCAGATATAAGTTCAACACAGAGACCTTTTCTACGGTTGATCCGTAATAGAGATTTGAAGAATTAGGAAGTGATGCAAATAAAGAAAGGAAAGCAAATGGAGTTTAACGGCCTACTGTTCTGCTCCGACTGGGCTAATGGAGACGGGCACCTGCCATACAGTGTGCTATGAGGGGAATTTTGCCTGGGCAGCAGCACTAGGGTCTACTCTTATATTGAATTCCAACTGCCAAGGGATCATTTACGGGCACGCCAATGTGAATCCGGGACCTCGTTTTTTTGTCCCATCCAAATGACTAGACAGCTTTCCTTGTCAGGCCCTCCATCCTGCCCCACTGACAAGGGGAAACCATGTTGAAAAATCCTGATGAACTTTCTCAGCCAAAGCAGAGATCGAACACACAACCTCCAGGCTAGAGAGCCAACTCTTACTCACTTAGCTACTGTTGCTCCCCGATGTAAATAAAGGAAAACACAAGTTATCATTACTATTGATTCGTATTGAACTATTCTATACACTACTCTGTGTATAACTGCTGTTTTCATCGCACAGATTATTAGTTGCATCATCTCCACTACAATGTTCATTGACGCTTTACACAAATAAAAAAAGTTTCAAGCGAATAATCTTCAAAACACATTGTCATTATTATTTGTATTGAAATTTATATGTTGTTATCACAAACACTGAATTATAAACCCTTACAATAGTTTCTCTTTTTGGTAATGCCTTATACATTTTTGAAGCAACATTTTTATGTACAAAGTAGCAATTGAATTTGTCTAAATCGTAGAATTATGCGGTAAGGTTTCACTTTTATTTGAATGTTGATTAGTTAAAGATACATTATGGGAGATAAGATAACGAGATGGCAGTTCTCGCTATAATAGTTAAAAACTAGATAGTGTAAAGGTAATTTGCTGAAAATTTCAGTCAAATTGATCCACCATGAGCCGAGAAAGAAGCTCGTGAAATTTTTGCATAGTCTCGGTCATCATTACTAAAATCATTAATATAAACAGCAAGTCTCGATTATCCACTTTTTTTGATTTAATTATCAACGGCCTTTAGCGTCATATAGGAATCTAATCCAGCCAACATCGAAGGCTAGCCTTGACATCGAGAGTTTATTATGGTCTGGATAAGTTAATTAATGTCTAATTGATAATTTAGATAACATTTCAGGCCTAAAGAAAGACTTGTAATAAGCAGATTTTGCTCTTGCATAATGTATGTTTAATTAAATGTTTTAAGCTACCTGTGGTACCTTTTGGGGCCAGATTAATTGGAAATTAAGTGAGTTACAGCCCTGTTACTTGTTTTGTAATCAAATGACTACAAAACCTGCTGAAATAAAAGCCTTTGAACCATCCACTACTACTGTGGCTGGAGTAAGGCAAATTGGTTGAGTGAGATGGGATGTTTTGATTCAAGTTTCATGCCCACTGCACTCATTTACCATCTCATTTCAAAGTAATAAGTAAAGATCTGATCAGTGTCATTTAGCTCTCATGGTGATCACATTTACTGAACGAACAGGCGAGCCTCAGTTGGCCTAGTTGTGTGTCCAGTCCAGTACCATTAGCAGCCTGGTGTAGGCTACACTGACTTTGGAATGCACCACATTTCAGGCGTCACTAGCAACGAGTGTATAACATTGTCTTTTCAAAATGATATCACTAAAGTTTTCGTTTCACTGTGAAATCAAACAATTCTAATGACTTTCCACTTACATTTATTTTATTATTATCTAAAGTAAATCGATAAAATTACCAAAATAACACCATTATCCAAAATCTGCAGGTGCCCGCCGCCATTTTGGAATTTCGCAGGCTTCGGGTGTAATACTTTCGCATTTTAAAAATAAAACGGACAAGAACAGCTGAAAAGTAAAGCATTTTTAAAATAATATGGGAAAATGTTCTAAATCTTTATTTTGATGAAGTATGAAAGCTTTATTTTGTTGTTGGTAGAAACTATTCGATGAATGACAATAGTATTTTACGAAACTTGTTCATAAACAAACCGTTTAATCGGTCAATTGAAATTAGCCCACTATTCAAAGTCGGGTATTCGTTTCATTTTTAAGATACATTACGGTATGTATAGATTTAGATAAAGATGTGGTTGTTCTCGGTGCATAGATTTACCCAAAATAACCCAAAACTACCCCAAAACAACCAGCATTTTGAATAAAACAACACATTTTTATTGTATTTTCTTTCTTCTTATTGCATAGAAGATTAATATTCCCTAAACTTTACTCTTTTTTTAAAGCTGGCAGTTCTCACTATAATAGTTAAAAGCTAGATAATGTAAATGGAATCTGCTGAAAATTTCAGTCAAATTGATTCACTCTGAGCCGAGAATTTAGAGATTGAAATTTCGTCCTAGCCTCGATCATCATTACTAAAGTCGGTACGATAAAAAAAACGTAGTCTCGATTATCCATTTCATGATTAAATCATGAATGAAAGTTGAGCAGCAAATCGGATCCTAAACCAGTAAATATCCAGGCAAGCAATGACATCAAGAGGTGATTATGGTCTGGATAAGTTAATTAATGTCTAATTAATAGTTAATATAACATTTCAGGCCTAAATGCAGCCCTGAAATAGGCAGATTTAGCTCTTGCATAATGTATGTTTAAAGTATGGCAAAGCACAATTACATAAATAGGAAATTCTAAAGGAGAAAAATAAATTGGTCCCATTTCTGATACTGATTGAATTTTTACCCATTTCTGCTGATTCTGCACACAGAGAACTCAGAATTATCTACCCTACTTCGAGAAAAGATATCTGCCCTAAATGGCCGCCTTATCCAACACTTAGTATACTGTTTTGTAATGAGGCCATGCTCGGGTTCACATCTGTTATACACAAAAAAAGTAATTAAACCTTTTGAATTTTATTCAATGAAAGCAGAATATACTTCTCGAAGGCGCATGCCCGTCTTCATTAGTCCAGTCGGAGCAGAATAGTAGGATGTTAAACCTATTCCATTTCATTTCATACTTCTCAAAATTCTGGAAATGTACTTAGTGTTTTCGACTAAAATCGTCGATTTAGGACTTAAAATGTCAGTCATCTAGGCTTAGTGTCTGTTCTCAAGCGGGGCTAATTGTAGACAAACAACATACATTTGGTATAATATGTTATGCTAGCCCAGTGATTCTCAACCATGCAGTGTGCCGCGACACAGATCTTCCTAGGTGTGCCACGAAATTTTGAACGGCACACTAAGAAAATTTCTCACTAAAGACGCCAGCTATTTGACTGATCAAATTCGAAACACTGCAGTGCAAAAAAATAAGTCCATAGCTGTGTTTTTCTTTATTTAGTTTGCGTCGTCCTATGTGTCTATGAATAGTCTGTGTTTACGGTTGTATGGCGTCTATGACTTGTCATGTTTTTGGGGGTTTTTTTTGGTAAAATTCAAATATTTTTCATATACATTTAGCTAGGTGTGCCGCTATTTTGTCATGTGTTCCAAGGTGTGCCGTTGGCAAAAAAGGTTGAGAACCACGGTGCTACCTCCCACCCCCATACAGTGTGTTATGACAGCTCCCGTTCTCTTTTTTCTTCTTGTGAAAATGGCTGATTGAGTAGGATGTTGGCTCGCTAAGAAAGTCCCGTGTTCGATTCCTAGCTGTGTTGACCGGGACATTTCATCAGAGTTTTTCGGTTTGGTTCCTTCTTGTCAGTGGTGCAGCAGGACGTACAGAGGGCCTGTTCGGATGTACAAAAATCTGATGTCCGGTGTACACATTAGCGTGCATGTAAAAGGACCCTTAACAATTCGAATTTGATATAAGAGTAGGCCGCAGCGTCGCTGTCCAGGCAAAATGTCCCTCATAGCCGAAATTCACTTACAATCACCGACATTCACTTGAAAAACAATTGAAATCACCGGAATTCACTAATATAAACTATTTCGATTTCTCCACATATCTGATGAAGGCCGTCATAGGTGTAGGTGCAATGTAATTACTTGAAAGACTACCGGAATTCATTTCAAATGTATTATTGCACCTCACATGCAATCATTTCTATAATCATTGGGTATCATTGTCTTCAATATCAATAATGGCTAGAGGAAGATAAAAGTGCGGCTTAAACACAATATTGAGCAAAGCCGAGAATGATGACGGTGCCAACATAGTTACGCCGTATTATTAACCGTATATAGGTACAGCTCTATGCACTAACCGACCGGGGGTGGGGGTGGGGGTGGGGGTGGCTGAATGGTTAGCGAGCGTGCGCTGTATCATAAAGTCTGTCATTGAGTCCACTGGCGTGGTTTCGAATCCCCGGTTGTACGTGACAAGGAGTAGGGTCGCCTGTCCAACCTCGTGGGTTTTCTCCGGGTCCTCCGGTTTCCTCCCACTCCTAAAGACCCTTATGCGCAAGCGAATTATTGAAAATAAACCATATGTTAGTCCCGAAATGACCTAGTTTGTGTCGAGTGGACGTTAAACCCTATTTCTCTCTCTCTCTATTGACCGACCGATCGGCTATCTGTATTGTAATTTATTAAATAATCGAAATTAATTTGCAAAATTAGCTTTAAATAATGTAAAATCCCTATAATTAAATAGTAATTGGTACCGAAACGGCGTACCACGTTTCGTTTGTATAGAAGCAGTAAAGCGAACGTGGTAGTTTGAAGCGTGTGTTTAGCCCCTGCCATTAATAATATTAGTAATAATTAAACCAAACCGTTGGCAATCCTATCCCATCATGTGCAACTGATTCATCAGTTTATGTCATGAACTTATTTGACCGGGCAGTGGCATTTTCAATTAATCTTGTTTCAAATTTGACGTCCAAGTGTAATTCTTTGCCCTGAAGGAAAGACTAGACACATTTTGATCCATGAATTTTAAGAAAAGGCAACTCTACTTAGAAGAATGATATTTGTTTGATCATAAATGACAATGTGTTTCACCATGGAGCTTATAATATTATAAGGTCCATGGATGGTTTCACAGAGCTAATGCGAAATCCATGTAGCGGCCTGGCGAATATCCACTGCTGATCAAACGTAAAATGCGTGAGACGAAAGTCGAATATCTAACAACGTACGTACAGCTAACTTCATCTGTCAGCTGTAGTGTGTGGTATGACAGAAGCTGAGAGGTGGAAAGCTAAAAATAGACTTGAAGCTTTTCGCGACCTCAATAATATAATAGCTGTTCAAGTAAACACATAGTTAACCGTTCGTACACATGAAGAAATTTACAACTACGAAATGAGGATTGTAGCCGCGGCTCTTTCCATTTGGACATTAATTAACGGTAAGTTTTTGCTTATTTGAGTAAGAAAGGCACCAAGAATTGAACAAACACCCGTGCGTAATTCGCATGCATTGCACAGATTGACGGATTAAAGTTAGCGTATCATCCATAAAATGAACGCGTGAGTGCACGACCCCTTGTGGCCTGTTATTTCAGCTCTTCTGACCTCAGCTGTACCGTTAGGACGATTTACTGTTAAAAAAACACACATTTCTTTTTTCTTTTAGTTTAGCAAACCAAATTCTTTCATTAATTTAAATATTTTCTTTAATTTTGGCAATATGGTTGGCCTATTTTTTTTGTCCTCATAAACTGTGCTAGAGGTTTTATATTATCTTGTTGTTCAGTGAAGTGTGTTTAACTGTCAAGTATTGGAGAGTTTTGTTTGTTTAAGAGTAAAATAATACTATACCACCACAAACCCCTGTTATTAATATACTGAGTCCGCGCATAATGTGAAACAGATCCTTCTTGAAAAAGGTTGGATGGACTTCATGGTAATTTTTATAAGGCAATGGCTACTACATGTAACTCAGTGCCTGCATGATTCCTCATTTTATAATCTTGGTGTTTAGCCAGCCAGGGATAATACGAAGGAATGAAATGGGGTTTTATGGTCCTACTTTTCTAAAAGGAAGAGAACTTAGCGTGGGGAAATATATGCATCTCCAGTCCAACTGAGAATGTGGTTTTGTTTTTGCTGTTGGTTATGGAGTGTAGGCCTAGCTCAGTATTATATTGGTTGGCCGTGGATCATTAAAGCATTTACAGTAAGCTCGGGGGAGGGGGAGGGGGATATGAAAATAATATAGTTCCATAAAAAAACACCGATGAATATTAAAACATTTATTGGAGACCGGGGGGGGGGGGGGATTTAAAAATAATAGAATAGAGTTCAAAATAAATTACATGTATAAACACCGATGAATGTTAAAACATTTGTTGGAGACCGGTGGGAGGGTGGGGGATCTAAAAATAATAGAATAAGAGTTCAAAATAAATAACATGTATAAACACCGATGAATATTAAAACATTTATTGGAGACCGGTGGGAGGGGGGGATCTAAAAATAATAGAATAGAGTTCAAAATAAATTATAAACACCGATGAATGTTAAAACATTTATTGGAGACTAGTGTAGAAGAATTTACTTTGGTAAAAAGTAATGATACGTAGTTTTACATTGAAAATGCCTTAGCACTATTCCACATTTTTGGTTTATTGGGTTCTCGCCTCTTCCCATATATAATTATATTATAGAGAGAAAATGAAAATAAATGAAATGCCCCCCTTAAGCCAAGTGGCGTTGTTATCAATCTCAAGGAGTAGGGTCACCTGACTTACCTCATGGATTTTTCTCCTGTTTCTCAGGTTTCCTCCCACAAGCAAATTAGTAAAATAAAATTGTACCATGTGTTGGTCCCGAAATACGGGGGTTGGATGGCCAAATGGTCATTGAGTCAACTGGCGGGGTTTCGATTCCCCAGTTGTACGTGACAAGGAGTAGGGTCGCCTGTCCAACCTCGTGGGTTT